TAGGATAGAGGCCTGGTGCACAGGTGGGGGCCAGCTGGTTTGCCCTGAAGGGTGTCCCGGATCAGGGTGGGGGTCCCGCTGGGGTGCCTGGCCAGCCTGGGTAAGGGGCTGATGGCTGTTTGCAGGCTGGTCACACCCCCTTCAGGGTGGGAGTCCCCATTGGGGTGCGTGGCCAGTCTGGGTGAGGGGCTGAGGGTTGTTTTCAGGCTGACCAAGCCCCCCGGAGATGGAAGCTCCCAGCCTCTCCTTTTTTTTTTATTCTGAGATTTATTTGCCTTCTATAATTGAAACATTGTTGCCGTCACTGGCCCTCCCAGCTCTGAGGCCACGGCAGGCTGAAAGCAGGTATCTGGGGTTTGTTTAGCTTCTATAATTGAAACATTATTGCTTCCGGAGCTCAGAGCCAGGCCGTGGCAGGTGGGGAACCTTGGCTTCCTCCATCACTGGAGCAAGCAAGCCTCATGTTCGCTTCAGCTGCGTGGCTGCCAGCCGCCATCTTTGTTGGCAGTTAATTTGCATATCACCCTGATTAGCCATTGGGAAGCGTAGCGGAGGTACGGTTAATTACCCTTTTTGTCTTTTATTAGATTAGATAGCACAATTGTATATTTATTTTAGTTGATATTACTACTCTTACTATTTTTAATATTCAGCATAGTGGTCACAGAAATCTTCTAAAGTTTTTGATCAAGTATGTTGTGGACAGCATAATGCTAGTTTGGATTGTAGGAGGATGAGAAGAATGATAATGCAATAATTAATAAATAATAATCCTATATAATAAAGAGCTAATATGCTAATTAGACCAAACAGCAGAATGACTGTCTGGACGACCTCCAGATGACTGTCTGGACGATCTTCTGGATGAAGCCAGGGCTGCAAGGGCCGAGCCCCTTGCACGAATTTCGTCCATCGGGCCTCTAGTACAATAATAAACTCTGTTTTTGTACTCACAACTGTAAACCTACTTTTGCCCCATCCTATATTTATTTTATTTCCAGCAATATTGCTAAATGATCTAATTAATAGTTTTTTTTAGCCTCTTGGATTTTCCAGCTGTGTAATCATATTTATAGAATTACGACATTTTGGCTCTTTTTTTAAAAAAAATTATGTTTATTGTTGTAAGTATTACAGATATCCCTCTTTTCCCCCCATTGACCTCCTCAATTTCACAACCACCCCAACCTAGGCCTTCATTGCAATTTTCTGTGTGTATGGGTTATGCATATAAGTTTTTTGGTTAATCTCTTCCCACTCCACTCACCTTCCCTCTGAGATTCATCAGTCTGTTTCATGCTTCTATGACACTTCTGGCTCTTTTGATCTACCTACTGCTTCTTAAATTTTTCTGACCTTATTTCATATGCTAGAACCTGTACATTTTAAATAAAAATGGGTAAAATTGGTACCTGTTTCTTATTCTGATTTTAATAGGAATTCTATTAGTTTTTAAGCATTTAATAGGATTGGGATTGATCCTGGTACTCTTATGTTTAGGATGTGTGTTTTTCCCCCCCCAGGAATAATTGTTGAAATCTCTGGACATTTTTTTAGTATAGACAGTCTTGCATTTTCATATGTTAATGTAATTAATGATATTGGTAGATTTCCTAATGTTGTATCATGCTGTGTTCCTGGAATAAGTTCAGTTTATCATAATGGCTTATTATTTTTATACTCTGTTAGATTAGATTTGCTAACATTTAGTTTAGAACATTTGTATCTATACTCACAAGTATGGTTTGTATTTTTTTCCCACGTGTGCCAACTATGTTAGATTTTGGTGGTAGAGCTTTATCGGTGTTGTATTAAATGAATTAGAAGCTTTTCTATATATGCTCAAGGACAGTTTGAGTAACAGAAATATCTGTTTCTTTTTTTTGAAATTTGATTTTAGAAAGAGGAAGGGAGAGGGAAAGAGAGATAGAAGCATCAATGATGAGAGAGAGGAAGGGAGAGAGAAAGAAGAAAATAAAATTGACCTGTTGCTCACCCATCTGTGCATTCATTGGTTGACTCTTGTATGTGCCCTGACTAGGGATTGAATCTACAATATTGACATATAGGAATGATGCTCTAACAACTGAGCTACCCGGCCAGGGCTAAATATAGATATTTTTAAATTTAGAATTTTATATACATTCTAGGGCCCATTGCATGAATTCGTGCACCAGTGGGGTCCCTTGGCCTGGCCTGTGGGATTGGGCTGAAACCAGCTTTCCAACATTCCCCGAGGGGTCCCGGACTGCGAGAGAGCGCAGGCCAGGCCGAGGGGCCCCATCAGTGCACAACTGGGGCTGGAGAGGGACGCGGGAAGTTGGCCAGCTGGGGAGGGACCACGAGAGGGCTCTAGGGCGTGTCCAGCCCATCTTGCTCAGTCCTGATTGGCCAGACCCCAGCGGCAACCTAACCTACCGGTCAGAGTGTCTGCCTCCTGGTGATCATTGCACATCATAGCGAGTGGTTGAGCGGCGTTAGCATATCATTAGCATATTATGCTTTCATTGGTTGAACGGCCAACCAGCCAACCAGACACTTAGCATATTAGGCTTTTATTATATAATATTGCCACTTACAATGTGATACACTGCCATTTGGGCAGAAGCTGTGTCTTATTTAATTTGCATTTTTTAGTTTTTAGCATAGTAAACAATACCATAGTTGGCTATTTTCCTTGGTTTGACTAATTCATAACTGTTATAGCACTTGATCATTTGTTTCACCAAGCTGTACGGTTCTATTTAGTCTTATTTCTGACAGTTTCTAAAATGATGTGGAATGTCTCCTAATTTAGATTCAAAACAATATTTAAATAATTATGTAAAGTTTAAAGTTATTAGTTTATCCATAAGTTTCCTTTAGTAAATGCATTATTTTTGTTGGTTCGGGTGATTTTCCTGTTTAGTAATATGAATAATAGATATTCTATTAGTATTTTTCCTCTGAATTTAATGGAGTTGTTTTTTCAGGTTACTTGACTATCCTTTAGAATAGCTCTGAGCAAATTATAGCTCCTGAGCCAAATCCAATCCACTGCCTGTTTTTGTAAATAAAGTTTTATTGGAATATAGCCAAGCCCATGTATGTATGTATTCTCTATGGTTGCTTTCACACTACAAAGGCAGAGTTAGGTAGCTGTGACAGATGCTATATGGGCCACAGAGCTTAAAATATTCAATTTCTGACTTTTTACAGAAAAAGTTTGCTAACCCTTACATTACAACATTAGAATAGTGATTACGGATTGCCTTACATACCTATATCCGGGCTCTCAAGGGAATCTTTGGACAAATTCTGTTTATGTTCACAAGTCATGTAGTCAGCATATTGAGGCACAGTTCTAGGTACTGGAGGCACAAGGGGGAAACAGTGGACAAGGCACATATAGTCTCTGTCCTCGTGAAGCTATCATTCAAGTGTAGAGGAAATAGACAACTAACCATGAAATATGTAATCTTAAAATATGTAAATCTTTCTTCCTTTCTGATGAGATAATTCACGAATTTGTTAACAAAATATTATACTGACATAAGTTTGCTAGTTATAGTGAATCTTGGGAAGTATTACATGGGATATAGTTTCCATTGTTATTGAGACTTATTTTCTTCTTCGGTGAAATTTGCAGAGGTCACTCTCCCTTTTGGGTTATTTGTGTTCTTAATCTGTAAGGTAACCTAAGTTGAATTCCTCACTGTGGCTATTGGGGCTCAATAAATATATATAAAATTCATGTCAGATTTTTTTGTTAGAGAAATTCAATGCTAAAATTAAAAAAAAATGATAGCTAACATATTTCAGGTACTCTCCTAGATAGTTTACATATCTTACCTCATTTACTCCTCTTAATAATGCCATGAGCTATTTATTATAATTTCCTTTTTCCAGATGATGAAAGCTTTGTTGAGAGAGGTGAGGTGAAATAGTTAAGGATGGAGTCTGTCCTCATTAGCATCTTAACCTTGCTGACTCCAGGGCTGCCACTCTTGGCTATTGTTTGCTTAATACTTTTTGAGATTTGCAAATAAATGTTTTCAAGTTGACATCACCATAATGGAACTTTAATTTTACTAGCTTCTTTCTTTCTTCCTTTCTTTCTTTCTTTCTTTCTTTCTTTCTTTCTTTCTTTCTTTCTTTCTTTCTTTCTTCCTTTCTTGTTATTGTTTTGTTTTTTTGTGTTTTTGGGGGGCATTGATTATTGACATTGGAAGATATAGGAGATAATTTTCTCCTCCTTTTTCTTTGTGTATGTGTACTTATGTGTGTTTAAGATAATGTAAACCAGAAAAGTGGAAGAGAAGGAATCTGCAAAAATAAAACCCAAGAAAACATAACACAGCAAGGAAGAAAGCGATTGATTTCACCAGGAAGCTCACAAAGTACATCTGCAGAGCAAGACACAGGGAAAAAGTGCAGAAATGCTGATCAGGAAGAGTTTGTCATTTCATCCAAGGTGATTTAAAAAAATAATTATCTGATTGTTTTCTTAATCAAATATTCTAGATAGCAATTAATTATATGTTGTATGCAGCAAGGAAAAAACAAAATTGCTTTTTATTAATGAGTTTATGAAGTTTACAAAAAGAAAAATTAGCTCATATTTTGCTGACTTGCTGACACTAACCTTTAATATAGTATTTGCATTGTAGGAAACAAGGTTATTTAGAAATTTTCAGACTGGGGGAAAGGTAAAGACCACCTGACTGTGGTTATTGTAACCTCCATTATTAAAAACTGGCCTCTTCTTATTATATTGGTTATTCTCAAATGGCATGTAACCACTTTTTCCTTTTCTTTTTCTTTTTTTTTTGTTTGTTAATCCTCACCCGAGGATATTTTTCCATTGATTTTTAGAGAGAGTGGAAGGGAAAGGGAGAAACAGAGAGAGAAATGTTGGGGTGAGAGAGATGCACCAATTGGTTGCCTCCCACACATGCCCCGACCAGGGCCCAGGATCCAGCCTGCAACTGAGGTACATGCCCTTGACCGGAATCTAACCCAGGACCGTTCAGTCTGAGGGCCAACACTCTATTCACTGAGCCAAACCGGCTAGGGCAAACCACCTTTTTCTTGATGAGTATTCAGAGAACAACTAATGGGCTAATTCTTACTAGCCTGTTGCAGGATTACTTCTGGGCTAACTGTTAGTATATATAAACCTTCTCTTTCAGTTTCTGCTAACTTACTAAAATAGTTTGGATGACTTATGCATTCTTTAGCACTGAGTACTTAAAGAAAATTGGGCCTATATTGGATGCATATAACAGGAGAGGAAAAAAGATATCCCTGGGGCAGAAAGGTCAGATATCTTCCTCTTGGTAGAGGGGTGGCTTCAGATGCAGTTTTCATGATCCTGTAGACCTGTGGCTGAGCTCTGTGGTCCTCATCTTTTTAGTCTCCACAAGAGCCAAAGGAGTAGGATTGGTTTTAGGATAGTGTGCACTGGAGTGATTGAAAGGCCGGTAGCCTTCCCGAGGGTCAGGTCTTTTGTAATACTCCCCTCACTCCTACCTCCTCTCACCAGAGCAGATCCAGCTTCTCACTGGATCCTTCTTTCAGCTAGAGAGGTGGGGTCTAATAACTATAGCCCGAACCCCTTGCTTGCTTTTGGAGTCAAGTTTAAGAAGTGGAAACAAAGTGTTTTCTGACTCATTGTATTGCCCATAAAAACTTATAAGGTAAAACTTATTTACTTTGAGACCTAACATGCTCTACTATCTGAACATATTATTATGACTGCCTTTATTTTCCAAGAAGAGAAGTTTATTATTTTCAGAATAAAATCTTAGCATACATGTGTACAACTTTCACAAACACCTTCTTAACTGATAGATTTTAGAGAGGAGCAGTAAACAGGGCCAAAATATTTGAGGTATTTGTGAGATTTTGATGACATCAAGGTAGTATTCAGCCAGGTCCCAGGAATGCCTGAGCTCTACTTGGCCAATTTAGGGTTTCTGAGGGAGAGTCAGCTCTCATAGCACAGGAGAAACAGGGCTCAAGGTTTCAGTACCTTTTCATAACCTTTTATGCAGGGCTTTCTGATAAAGCTGGGCCAGAGATGAGGACTTAGACTGAGACCCAAGAAGACCTTTCTAAGCCCCACCCTCCATCCCCACCCAGTTTCACTCTTAACTGGCTTGCAGCTGGTCCTGAAGAGATATCTGCAGTGCAGGAGCAAGTGAGAGGGAAAGTTACAAAAGAGTGAAAACAGGAGGTTGGGGCTGCCTATTTATACTGTAATGGCATGAGATTGCCAATTATATGGGACTTAGAACAGTTTGGCCAGGCCTGCCGAGTAGACTTGGGTCAGTTCACTTGGGAAGAATCAGTCACATTTTCTTGGGAAAGAGAAAGAAAGGAGGTGGAGAGAAGGGGCAGAAATCACCTTCCCTCACTGGGCCCTACTCCTGAGATTCTGATTAAGTTGGTCTGTGCAGCCTGCACATCAGTATTATTTTAAATAAACACTTTCAATTTTAATGTGTACACAAGGTTGAGAGCTACTGATGTTCCATCATTCAACACCTTGGAGGTAACTGGGCCCAAGAGCACATTGCTAGAGACCTTGGGCCTCAAACATAGGTCTTTTCATTTTGGGTACAATGGATTTCTCTACCATACATATGAGACTGTCTACAAGAGTTTTGTGGCTCTATAACTTCTGATAATGCAGCGAATTGCTCTGAAATAGTTCATTTTTTATCAGTTTCCTTATGTCACCTCTTACCAGTTAGGTAATTATCTAATTGGGGAGTGAAATGAGGGTGCTTGAATTTATGAACTTTAACAGAAATAATGGTATGTCCTGTACACAGTCTAATTAGGACTGGGTTGTAAATGACAGAAGGAAGCCTAACTGATTCAACATAAGCAAAATAAAGTGTATCAGCTGTCTATTGCTGGGAACCAAGCTACCCCAGCACTTAGTTGCTTAGCAGAACAAAGATTTATTATCTCTTATAATTCTGTGGATTGGTTCAGCTCAGCTAGGCAATTCTTTTATGATACAATTTTGGTGTCAGCTTGACTGCATTCAGCTGGGAGCTCAGCTGAGGCTAGAGTATCCATGGTGGCTTCACTATCAGGAATGGTGCTCCAGCAAGGATTGATGGAATGACTGGGGGCTGGCTGGGCCTCCTTCCTTCCACTTAACTATTAAGTAGTCTAAACTGAGAATCTGTGTCTGACAGAGTGAAAGAAGAAGCTTTCAGGTCTCTGAAGGCCTGGAACTGGTACATGATCATTCTGCAGCATTCTTTTGGTCAGAAGAAGTTAGACCAAAACTTCTTCTTAGATTCAGGGGAAGGGGATTAGACTCCACTTGTCCAGTGGAATGATTTATATAGAAGGTATGGGTGGAATTATTGGCAGCCATCTTTGATGACTGTGTCTCACACAGAGATATAGAAATAATTCAATTTCCAGAATGGAAAGAAAAACAGCAGGAACTATAGATCATAGGGACCAGCCGGAGACTTGATCAAATCAGGTTGGTCTATGGTTTTCTTATTTTTGCTTCTTGAATTATTCTTCACTGCTATTGACAGGCTTTATTCACATGGTCTACAACAGGGGTCCTCAAACTTTTTAAACAGGGGGCCAGTTCACTGTCCCTCAGACCGTTGGAGGGCCGGACTATAGTTTAAAAAAAAACTATGAACAAATTCCTATGCACACTGCACATATCTTATTTTGAAGTAAAAAAACAAAATGGGAACAAATACAATATTTGTATTTGCATGTGGCCCGCGGGCCGTAGTTTGAGGACCCCTGGTCTACAACATGGTCACAGGTAGCTTTAGGCTCATGCCATCCAGTTTTTTAAGTTAAGAGAAAAAACACCAAAAGAGTGTCTTGTTTCTGTGGTTGCTTTAGTGTTAAATTCTAGGAACTTGGATAATGGAATCTCCATTTTGACCATTCATAGTGGTCAGAAAGATGAGGCAGTATTACCCCTTTCTCAGTCATTTGATAATGAATTTAGGAAAGAGGTCTAGGAAGAAATGAATGATATACATTATACTTTAAAAAAATACTGGAGTTAGATTTGGATAAATTCAGAGAGCAGGAAAACAACTGGTAGTTTGCTTAGGTTGGTTGAGATCAACCTAACAAATGAGGAGACTGGAAATGGTTGGGAACATTGGGGTACACCCTAGGCAGGGGAAGGAAAGACTAAGTTAACCTCTTTAAAGGAGGTATTTGAGTTAGGTGTTGAAAGATGGCTGGCCTGTTAGCAAGTTGGTTTGGTGAAGAGGAGTAATGTCAGTGAAAGGCGTTGTTGCTGAGCAGAGGTGCAGACGCAGGGAAGTGTGTGGTCCATTGATGTCTATCACACTGCAGTGTCGTGTGTGTGTGTGCATGGATGTGTGTGTGGATATGCATGGGCAAGAGCTGAGGAGGAAGCTACAGAACAAATCAGAGTGAAAGCCAGATTAAGTAAGAAAATCAGGACTGTATTTTATGGCTTCAGATACTTTCTGAAGTGTTTTGAGTGAGAGTTATGTGGTTAGGAGGATGTAACAGCGATATGTAAGATGGAGGTGGGACCAGCCTAAGAACCTGCCACAGCGGCCACAGGGAGTGAAAGCCTGGACTGGAATGGTGCCCCTGGGACCAGAGAGAAGTAGAGAAATGTGAGAGACATTTTGGAGATAGAATGTGAACAAACCTGATGACTAACAGAGTATCGAGGAAGAGATTGAAAATGTTCTTAACAGAGCAGTAGACATGGCAGTTGGGGAAGAGATGGGAGGACTTCCTTGGTTTGAGGCAGTGGTGATGAATCTGTGAAAGCCGTCTAATAGAAATGAAAGTATGTCTCATAGGAGAGGAAAAAAAATCAGAGCTAAAGAGTTCTGTTATGCCATATTATTTGGGAGCAACTTGCAAATACACCTGTATTTCATTCAGAGCAAATGGAGTATATGTGGAGGTGGATGCTTTGGTGATAAGAGCCATTTCTAGATATACTTCCTGCTCTGTCCTCTCTATGCAGCTTCCCTCTGTGATAATAATTGCTGAAACAAATAAGCTGGCTGTTAAGTATCTCATTTGTCTATAGATAGATGCCTGCTGTGGAGTCTTAACTCCTTTTTCTTTAGGGAAATGGCAGGGGAGATAAAGACTATAATGCTTACTTACACAGCTATTTCTTAGGAAAGGCTGAATTCCCCAGAGCCCCTAAGTATTGGTTTATTAAATCAAGGAATCTTATACCCTTTGCTCCTGATTGGTCATTTGGGTAAGTACCATTTATAGCACAGTTCTGATCAGTCCCATAGAAACATCTTTTCATTTATCATTCATTCATTCTTGCACTCAATAAGCATTCATTAATAGTAGTAATGTAGTGGCATTAATTATGCTATTAACAATAACAAATTAAAACAAAAAACTACAACCATTTAGTGAGCTCTTATTCTGGGCTAGACCCAGCACTAAGATATGATTTCATTTAATTTTTAGAAAATCCTGGAAAGTAGGTTGATTATATATCTGGTTTATAGATTATGAGACCTGAGGTTCTGAGAGTTTAAATCAACTTGTTTAAAGTCAAAGGTTAAGAAATGGCAAAGCTGATATTCAAAATCCAATTTTTTTACTTCAAAGATTATTCTAATAATCATTATACTAAGCAGTTATGTGCAAGGCAGTGTACTAGAATTTGGGATTAAAAGATGAATAAGATGGAGTTAATAAGGAATCCGAGGGACATGATTAGAATCATAAAATAATGTGACCATACATTGATTTTTATGGGAGCTTTGAGGAGGACTACCCAAGCCAGCTGGAGGATTCCTAGGGAAGGGTTCCTAAAAGAAATGATGGAGCTGAATCTTAACAAAAGAGCAATAGGTACAGCCCAGGTGTAGAAGAGGTAGAGGTAGGAGTCCATCCCAGGTAGATGGGGCAGCAGGTATATGAGCAGGGGGGATACAAATGATATGTTGGGAGTTCTTAGTGCAAAGTAGGTGGCAGTGTGAGATGAGGGTGAAGTCAGAAGTGGGGACTAGTTCATAGAGGGAAGACCTTGAGATGTTTTCAGCCACAGAGATAATCCTGGCAGCTCTGCAGAGGGGAGATTGGAAGATAGGGGAAGAGGGAGGAGATTAGGGAATGACCACAATCAAGAAATAAAGAGAATGGGACCCAGGGCAGTAACTTTAAGGATGAAGCAAAGGCATTGGATTAGAGTAATGTATAGGAAGCAGAACTGTAGGACTTGTTGCTTGGATCTGGGGAAAGTGGAGGAAAGGAGGGAAAGATACACTTCCAAGGTTCTGGCTGGAATGAGTGGATAAGTTATGTTGGCATAGCTATGGTACAGAATACAGAGGGAGGGTTTCAATTTTGACATTTTGAGTTTGAGGTGCATTGGATATTGGAGAAGAAATGTCTAGCTAGTGATTGAATAAATATATGAGTTTGAACGTGGGGCTAGAGTTTAGGATTTTTTAGTCTCTAGCATGCGGGTGTTAATGGGATGGATGTAGGACCTTTAAAGTAACTTATGAGCACAGACATTCTTTCCAAGAGCAGCTTGGAAACAACGATGAATTACCTCATTGAACTAGTATTAGGAGGAAGTTTTTTATTCTGTCCCTTATAGTACATGAAAACTTCAGATGGTTGAGGGATGGGAAGGGCAAGTTAATGGACTATTTTAATAGCCTTAATAATGCAGTCCAGCTGCCTCCAAGCACCAAGGTCACCTTCCATGAGCTCCATGCTCCTCCATCCCTGAGGTTTCTAGCATGTATTTTTATGGTGTACGGGATCCGTCCTCTCTATAATGAATCTCTAGCCTCCCATACTTCATTCTTCATATTCTCATCCAATCTAAGAAAGAAGCAATGTGGGTATTTATAAAATATGGAACTCTCTCCCTTTCCCCTATTTCTTCCAAGTACAGAGCACCTTCCATTTTTCCTCTCTCCTCAGTTGCCAGTTCACTTGCTCTGGCTCATGAGCTTTGTAATTGGCGCAGTGCAAATTTATGTCTCAGCAAACTTACAAATTACTGCATGTAATGGATTTTGGGGATCATTTATAAATAATTGAAACCATGATTGTTAAATTCTTGAATGCCAAGGGTCTACTGAATATTAATATTTCATGGAGTTCCATAAAGAACATTATGAATTCTAGCTTCTGTGACTCTTAAAATGGTATATTTGAGAACCCCTGACCCATAGAATTGATATCTGTGACTTTATAATTTCTTTCTCTTTTAGAATAAATTAATATGTTAAACATATTTCTTGTGAAGATATTTTAAAAAAAACCAAATCCTTCCTTATATTTCATGGAAGCAGAGGGAGTTGAAATATGATGCTAAACATTTCATGCCTTATATATTTTATTTAATTTTCTTTTATTTGTTTTTCATATTTAAATATATTTTACTGATGTTTTACAGAGAGGAAGGGAGAGGGATAGAGAGTTAGAAACATAGATGAGAGAGAAACATCGATCAGCTGCCTCCTGCACACCTCCTATTGGGGATGTGCCCACAACCAAGGTACATGCCCTTGACCGGAGTTGAACCTGGGACCTTTCAGTCCGCAGGCTGATACTCTATCCACTGAACCAAACCGGTTAGGGCTGTTTTTCATATTTTAATGGCAAAATAATACATGCTTGTTGTGAAAAAACAACACCAACACAGAGTATTCAGAAGCATATAGAATAAAACATATATATCTTGAATTGCCTTATCCTTCAGTCCCATTGTCTTACAAGTATTTTGATTTGTATCCTAAACCATTTCATTTGGATTTATACAAGTAAGTACACACATAGCTATATAGGGATTTTTTTTTTTTAAAAAGCTAAATGGGATCATGGTACTATGTATATTGTTATTGTTTAATTTTTAAAAAAAATAGCCCTGGCCTGGTAGCTTAGTTGGTTAGAGTATCATCCCCATATGCCAAGATTTCAGGTTTGATCCCAAGTCAGGGCACATATAAGAATCAACCAATGAGGACATAAATAAGTGGAACAACAAATTGATGTCTCTCTCTCTCTCTCTCTCTCTCTCTCTCTCTCTGTCTCTCTCTCCCTCCCTCCCT